ACAATACAACAATGAGCAAAATGAGGATTAATAACTAATCAGATATAATGATCTGAGGTTTTTAATGATGGGATGTTCATTATAATGTTAATTTAATAATAATAAAAAGCTGAGAACACCTAAATGATCCAGTGGCATAAAACGATGGCATATGGTAAGATGTTATGAAACCATTTAAAATTTAAGTTTTCACAGAGTAGTCATTGATGTGAGAAAATTATACTGTATAACATGAAGTATGAAATGCTGTATGTGAAATACTATACACTGCTATGAAATCAGTATTATTTCTATAGATAATGGTATTGGGTTTTGACTCCAGAGCCCACCTTTCCATCAGCTGCTGTTTCTTTTTTATGTTTTTCTGAATTTTTAAAATCAGTAAGATACATTATAATCCTAAAAACTCTCCATATCCATTTCCCTGAGTTCATGACACCAAACAAAAGCACCGAGCTGTTGCAGGCCTCACTTTTCAATGCTTCCTGTAGGTTCATTTCCCTTGAGGCTAAGAGAACAAAACCGTGAGGAAAGTCGGATTTGCTACTGAATAAAACTAGTATTATATGCCATATGAATATGGAGTTGTCTAATTTGAAAGAGAATAAGAAAACTAACAGGAAAAGTATCAACTCTTTGTCAGGGGCTGTCTTTTTTTTCTTTGGGGCATGTTTTTTGTTTTCAAGTTGATTGCGTTTGGCTTCCTAAAGTGTCAGCCTGTCAGCAATTTTTATTACATCAAAGCTATCCTTAATGAGTGCTTATTATGTGCCAGGCATTTCCGTACATTACACAACCGAGTCTTCCGGCAGCCCCTGCTGCAACTCTGTGAGGAAGGCAGAATTGTCTGTCTTGACAGATGAGCCGTTTCCAGCACATGTCCCACAGCTGGTTTATCCCAGAATCGGGACCGTACAGTGTAGGCGCTACTGACGCCCGGGCTCCTGTTCCTGACCACTCTACTGCGCTGCCTGCTATGAAGCTGTGAGTGCCTCACTGCACAAGGAGCTTTCACTGTGATCGGGGTTTAGGAGCACGCGCGCGCGCACGCGCACACACACACACACACACACACACACACACAGAATGAAGCAATGTACAGCACAGTTCCCAAGTGTATGGTATGGAAAAGCAAGAAATAATGGAATGCACAGAGTACTTACCGTTGGCTGTAAACAGTAACCGTAAGAGAATTTAAGACGGAAGATTACAAATGGCACATGCCAACTCCCAAAGTACATTTATACCATTGTTTGCTTCCGCTACTTCATATCATCCCCATTCATTGCCCTTTAATTAACATTATAAGATTTTAAGTGTTCTGTCCTTAAAAGGTAAATGAATGGCATGTATATGCTTTAGTTTCCTTTGTTAGATTGTGTTTCTTGAAGCTGAGTGTGTTTTCTGCATTATTTTTAAGCTGGGATGTACCCACCTGATGACCAACGTGTCAGCATGTGGTGTCTCTTGATAAAATCTGTTTAACCATCTCCTCTTCGGCTGTTGCAGGCAACGTGGCTGTATGGCATACAGATAACAAGTTTACTTCTGGTCTGCATTCTTCAATTTTTTAATTCCATGATTCTTGGATCATTGCTTATCAGTTTTAACCTTTCAGTATTAATTGCAAGAAAACTTCAGGTAGGACTTTTTTGTTCTTTATGAAAGTAAGCCTTTTTTTTCATTGTGTGGTTTGTTGGACCTTATTTTCATACAGCATGCAAAAGAAAATTTATAACCCGATTCCCACTCAAAGCATGAGTGGCATTATTTGCTTTTTCAAGTGCAGGTTGTAGTATTTTTGAGCCCCTTGAGATCATGCACCATCCCTTTGACAATATTTCTTTCTTTCTTT